CTAGACTCAAACAAAACTTTCTTAGATGGGGCAATAAAAAGAAAAGTCAACGCATGTTAATTAAGGTTTCGTTTGATTTGTTGGATGGGAAGCAAAAAATATGGAATATTTTCAAATATTCTTCCTTTTTCATGTTTGATTAGTTTGTGGGATGCCACCATTTTGGTGAGAAACAAGTGGAAAAAGAGGGGAAACTTGTTTAAAGAGAAAACACCTACCCCTAGTATTTTTAAGAATTAGTATCTCATTAATGACATATAATTATTAATTATTTTATAACAAGTTAATAAAATGATTTAATTAAAATTAGTTAATAGATATATTAAAAGGAATAATTGATAAAAATAATAATCAAGTACAGATAATTTAATAATTTAGTAATAAAACATTAACATTATTAATTAAGTCATAAGTATTAATAAAATAAAATAGGGAAAATTCCCGATAAGTACCCTTTACTTTTAGGCCTAGTGATAATCTAGTACCTAAACTTTAAAATACGACAATCTAGCACCCGAACTTTCAATTTGCGACAACCCAGTACCTGGCGTTAACTCATCATCAATTAGAAGGCAAAAAGATATAACTAGCCACTTGCAATTTTGACTGATGTATAAATTATTTTTTGAAATGATGAAATTGACCCCAACTCTAACATCCTTTCTCTGCAAGTGAGAATTGATATGAACAAAACTAACCACCAGTTAGAAACCGCCAAGTGGCAACATGATGGGGGGGGCAAAGTTGTCAATTGACGAACTAACTTGTCTTGGCAAATTGACCTAGTCCTGACAAGCTACAAACTAACCTGGTCTTGACGAGCTAATTTGACACCAACTCATAACAGGCACAAGCAACACGTGGCTGAACTTATTAGAATATCAATGCCAACGCATTCCATGTAAGCCCACTACCTACCACATGTACACCACATGCCAACTAAGGGCACGACAAGTGGACTGAGCTCCGACCACGTGTGAGAGACGTGTCGGTTCTTGGATGAAGCCCCTCTTCTATAAATAGGTGAATCCCCCATTCATTTGGACACAACTGAACATGGTAGTACATTATTATGAATAAGGCACGCCGGACACCTCGGCACATGGAGCTCTCCAGCTCCCCCTACGAGCTCTTCAGCTCATCACATATAGCTCTCCAATTTTCCTCACAATCTCTCTAACTCACTTTATTTTCCCTTGGCAATTACTGACTTAACTATCAGAGTTCACGCCCCTGAGATCACCCGAGGCCTTTGACATCTCTTATGGTTGCAGGTCTCTCTTATAGTCAAGGTGTTGAACCGATTTAACACTCTGAGACGAGGTGACACCCTACTCCAACAACTTTCCATCCTTGCCCTTGTGGTCAATTTTGATCATCATCAGCTTCTCTGTGTATTTTGGAAGAAACCGTTGGAAGAAATCACATCTACTGCTAGTACCCCCTGTTTTTAACTCAACCATTGTCGGAGAAGACAACAGCGCCGGAGGAGGCAACCAGGGTTTTTTTTTTTATTTTTTTTAGAATAAGATCAACTTGAACAGAAGCCGCATCACAATCTTTAACTATTATTTGAATCTTGCCGACTCCACCCTCCTTGTCTTTTTCCTTACCCTTCTTAGCTCTCTCCTCTGCCTCACGACCGAGAACATTCCATTTCTAGAGCAAAGCCACAGCCCCCTTCTCTACCTCTTGAAAGTAGCCAACACTCACTCCACCGAGTTCGTTCCTATGTACCTAAACTAGGGAACCAAGAGAAGATACACAACAAGGTTTGGGTTCTGGCTCCTATGTCAGAACTATGACTCTATCTTGGAGCAACTCCTGACTAAACGTAGAAAATATTTGGTGAATGATGTTGAAAACATGACCTGGTATAAACTGCATAATCGCCTAGTTTGAGGTTTGGACTTTGAACTTTGAATGATGGACGATCCATTCCAATACATTATCCACATTCTTTCAATCTTTCTCCAAGTACTATATGTCAGCACGTTTCTTCGAGTTGAGTTTCGCTCATTTGACGACGTTGGGGAACCGACCGACGAAGCGGTTGTTGTTGAGGTCAAGCTCATAGAGCAACTTGAGACGCCGAAAGGTATCTGGGATGATGCCGTAGAAATTGTTGGAGTTGAGGTGGAAAAGAGTCAGATTCGTTGAGAGGCCAAGCTCAGGTGGGAGATACCCAACAATATAAGCGTGGTTGAGATCGATGTCGAAGACTTATGGTTTATAGTGTAAGCTGTTAAGATAATAGGGAGCCATCCGCGCACTCAGCAATGGAGATCAGAGGTCCTCCTTCGGTCTTCCAACCCAAGACCGAAGATTACCCTTCTTTTATTTGCTTAAAGAGAAAGGGTAAAATGGTCTAATAATTATCAATAAGGGTAATTTTAGCATTTTTAATTATTTAATCCACATATGGTATCACGTGATAATGTTGGTTGATGGTCTGTTAACAACATGTACCAGATTGTAGCATGTGGAAAGTTTAGGTACTGAATTGTCGCATTTTGAAGTTCAGGGGCCTAATTGTTACTCGAGCCAAAGTACAGGATACTGATTGGAAATTTTTTCAATAAAATATTCATAATAAAGCTAAATTCAAAAAATTAAATAATGTTAATAATTAATAAGAAAATACTAATTGATAAGCTTTTCAGTTCAGCCATTCAATTGTTATCAAATGGCCCCTAGTGGTCTAGTGTTCAGTCCTCCTCATCCTCATCCCATTATAATTAATTAAGTTTCAGCACAAAGTATGGACAGGCACGTGCTTGTCTATGCTTCAAGTCCAATTGGATTTCACATGAAGGGCATGTAAAAAATAAAAATCTATTCAGCAACCTCACTTAAGACTTGATCCTCGAGCCTTTTTGTGAAAACTCAGCTAATTGATCTGTGCTGAACTTCAAGTAATTTCCATAGGACACTATCCCTAATGAAGTGGAGGCCATTTCAATGTGGTTTCTGTGAATGTGTCACACAAGGCTTGCTGCTAGGTAAGTGACATTGGTGTTATCAGACCAAATAATCAGTGCTCATTGAGAAGGGGAGCCTAGTTCTTAGAGGAGAGACCAAGCGTTTTCTCTTGCGGAGTTGGCTTAGGGATTTGAACTCAGACTCATTACTTGAATGTGTGATTGTGCACTATTTGCATGCATTCCAAGAGACAAAGTTGTGGCCAATAAAAATAGCAAAACCAACTTAGGCCACCAATCATCTCTGCAACAAGCTTAATTGGCACACTGAAGGCTGAAGTGTAGAAGTGAGATGGTAAAAAGGAAGGGCCATGATCAAGCGTATTTTGTGCCAAAAATGTTTTTATATTCAGTTGGATCTACTAGTAGTTGCCTAGAGAGTTTGGAGAGCATGCTATTGATAGCAATCGGAGTTGAAATTAGTCTGGACCCATTCACAAATGTACATTTCAAAACATCCAACATGTATTTACATTATGAGAGACTTGCAGTGTAGTACTGCCAAGGAAGAAGTGTAACTCTACAAGATTTTTAAGGCCAAACTTTGTCAAAAAGGTTATGGAAGAGAAGTTGGATGGCATCAAATTTGTTACCCACTGGCCATTACTGTGTTTGCAAGTGCTTATATTAAGCACTTATTTGCTTATTATTAAAAGCCAAAAGCACCCAAAAAACCCTGAATTGGCATTTGGTAAAAACAAAAGTAAAAAAAAAAAGGCCCGTTTAGAAGAAACCATAAATTTTGGGCTTTGGGCTTCTTAAGTTTTGGAGAAGCCCTTTTATAAAGAAAAAACCCATATAAAACCATGCATGCCTTGGGATCTACTAAAGACCACAAAGTTTTGAAGTCATTGGACATGCGGTACGCCATATAGACATCTTGTTAGCAGCAACTATAAAATAAATGGGTTTATATAAGGCTGAGGCGATGTTGGCTAGAACAAATGGTTGGAAAATAAGATTCTTGTCACCGAGTCTAAGTTGTGGTGTGGTCTGTAGTGTGTTGGTGACAAGAGATTTGTTAATGGTAACACATTTTACAGCAGTAAGTCAATAGAGTAATGGAATTGAATGGGAAGTTGATAATGGTTGATATATGCCGGTTTAAGGTATCAAAAGCTTGCTAAAAAGTAGGGGTGTCCATGAAAAATAAAAAATCGAAAAACTGAACTATAAAATGCGGTTAATTGAATCAATCGGTTTTGTTTCGGTTCAGGATTTTTGAAAAATTGAAGGATCAGTTCAATTTTCGGTTAACCTACAAAAAAACTAACGGTTAACTGAACCGACCGCTATATATATTTTTAATATGTCACATATTTCATATATAAATATATATTCATTATATATAACAAATATATACTTATATTATATTTATAATGATCAGTTAACTAGTAATACCGATTCAATTTCGATTTAGAAAAATAAAAAAATCGATACCACCGATTGGACACCCCTAATAAAAAGTTCTTTTCACCATCAGTATTCATTAGTTTAATATAAGTTAATGACTCAATTAACTATCAACATTACTCATCTTTTATTACTATATAAAGTCGAGAATCGAGATTGATCTTAGACTTTCTTTATTCAATAACAAGTTAACAACATAAACCGGTACGTATCGAAGGAAATGGCTACGATCGACGGATTATTAGTAACGCTGAAAAGACAACAAGTATCATACGATATTCGCTAATGCATTGCAATATTTTGAACATGGGACCCACCACCAGATGACAGATGTTAGATGTATGTGACTATGTGTCACAATGCAAATTCGGGATCAAGAACCAACCATGGTTCTCTCTTCGGGACCTAAATGACACATTTTAGTACCCTGTCAGTTTATCTGAAGCACATGATGTCTTCTGCATTTGAGATCTAAGAAAATTTCAAAATGCCAACGAAAACATTATTCATCGTCTTCATTTTAGAATGTCATATTAATGATTTAACCAATTTTAGTAAAAAAAAAAAGATGGAAATGAAAAGTGAAAAAGATGGGCTTCCTGGGTATTAAGAAAAATTTAAATGGGCAAAACCAGGATGGAATACAAGCTCTTCTTGAATTTTTCTAATGGGCTCCCTACTGCTATTCCACTAAACACTTTTTGCGTTTGCTTTTGGCTTGTAAAATGCAATAAACGCTAACACTTGTTTTAAGCCCTGCCAAACATGACTTGTAATACAGCAGCTAAAAATCAGGTTCAATCATAAAAAACAACTCAACAATCCCAACAAAATAAGCCAACTAACCGACTTTGCCCACCACCTGCTGAAATATCCCTAAACCTAACCTAAGACTTGTATTCAGAACACATCCAATAATAAATCAGCAAGGTAATTCTAACCACAAAATATCAACTTTGAGGGGAGGCTTTTGCAACACCACTCTGCTGAACAGGCGGAACAGCCTGAGAACCTGGAGCTGCATCGTAAGTCCCATGAACACTCCCTCCAGCAGCACTGTCAGTAGAATAAGCAGAAGGCTGTGAATAACCACCACCATAGGAATCACTGTATGCCGCCGGCGGCTGCTGCTGCTGCTGCCCATAACCAGGCTGAGCAGATGCTGGTGGTACACCATAAGGCTGCTGGCCATAGCCTGCCTGAGGACCAGCTGACCCAAAGCCAGATGGTGGAGCACGATGATCTGGTTGAGCATAGCCTGATTGTGTTGGAGGTGGCTGGGAATGCGAATAACTGGGTTGACCAGCTACTGGCTGAACATATGCTCCCTGGGTGGTTGGAGGCTGCTGCTGGGCCTGTCCATACGGTTGACTAGGAGGTGCCTTCTGAGACTGAGGTGGTACATAGCTTGGCTGGGTAAGCGGTGTAGACTGCCCATAGCCAGTCTGTGGTTGGTTTCCATAACCTGGCTGTGAAGTTGGGGGCATTCCATAACCCGGCTGCTGTGAGGGATAGCTTGGGGGTGTGTTATTTGGCTGTTGACCAGTATATCCTTGCTGGGGTGCAGCTGGAGGTGGTACAGGTGGAGGGACTTGTCCTGCAGGAACTTGGGTAGGACCCCCTTGTGCTCCATAAGATGCTGCAGTTCCATCTTGTGCTGTGGTACCCACACTTCCATAGGTTGGTCCTGATGAATAGCTTTGTGGCTGGTCATATCCTGGCTGTGGATTTGATTGCGGCTGCCCATACCCTGGTTGAGGTGCTGGTGCATGGTAACCACCACCATAACCATCCTGCGGATAGCCTTGTTGCCCAGCAGGTGGCTGAGCATAATTTGATTCTCCATAAGAACCTTGCTGATTATAACCAGAAGTTGGTGGTTGACCATAAGTGTAACTAGAGTTATCAGCAGGATTTGAAGGCCCTCCTTGAGTTTGTTGTTGCTGCTGTGATGGAGGTTGTTGGTTGTAGTAGTCGTACCCACCACCTTGGGTGGTTTGCTGACTTGGTGGGACAGGTGTTTGGTCCCATCCAGAAGAATAACCTCCAGATGTTTGCTGTGGTGGATAGCCAGCATAAGGTGGCTGAGACATGTTATACTGAGGTGGTGCCCCCGGATAAGTTCCAGGCTGCATGTAGCCATAGCCAGGTTGCTGCATAGGTGGTGCTCCAGGTGGACCCCAATTCGTCGGAGGACGTGGAGGCCGATAGCCTTGCTGAGGATATCCTCCAGCCATTGTTGGATTTCTAACACGATTCTGCACAGAATTGTTTATGCATATGAACCAAGAGAACCTTTTTGCACATACAAGCAACAGAGAGAGAACACTAACACATGAAATATGTAAAGCAACTACCACCAGCCAGATTCAAACCTTAATAATCAGCATAAAGAAACATGAAGCTAGCGAAAAGCCAACTAGAATGAAGATTGATATAAGGCATATGCATATTCGCATTAAGAGGGTAAAGACGCCTACATACCGCACTGGTGGTGAACTATTCGGGTTACGCCAGCAGATGCCCATCCTCTCTCTACATGAAGTGAATGGGTACGAAAGGAATAGTGGCAAAAGCTACAAAAGTGCTTGACATAAAAAAGCAGAGACACAATGCTATCTCTTGCTAAGAGGTAACAAGTTTTTCAAATTCCTTGCCCTTAGCATTAAGTTACATGCATTATTATCAACAAGAGCAAAACACGAACAAAAAAAAGGCACATGGCAGAAAAGAATAACACTAGCCTAGAGAAGTATTATAAGATACAGATAAACTTAAGATTGGTTGTTTATGATTAAATCAGTAACTTCCACAACATCCAAAGCAGCGCCTATGGCTTCTCTCCTTGTATAACATAAAACCTGATCAATTGAATATGAGATCCCAAAACCGTTCCTAATTCTTCAGTTATAGATAAAAATGAACAAGAAATAGAACAGAAAAATCATAGGACTTTGATCTTGACTTGTAAGACAGCATATTCCACTACACAAGCAGAGATGTTAACCTGAAACCAGACATCTATGACATGACAAAGGCAAAGATATAGTACATGAAATAAAGCAAACACACAATAGGGAGGTTCATAGTTTTGGCACAAAATTAATCCTGTAAGAGAGGCAGCAAGAATAGACATAGAATGATAGAATATGAAAACAGACTTCAGACCTCAGTTTTTAGTGTAACATTTTAGTTGTAGAGTAAAAAAATAACCATGTGGGGGCAAAATGTTTACACATCAACTAAATAACGAGAAAAGTTGACAAGGTAAAAGTTTTCAACTGAACAAGTGTCTTTGAACCGATCTTACTTGAGACAAAGAAGAAGATTAAACAAGTCCTGAGTCGGTGTTTCTTTTTTCTTTTGGTGAGCGAGTTAATGTTTCTTTATAACAAGATTATCTAGAGAGACAAGATGGGACAAATATTAACCACCTTCCAGGAAAAAATGAAAGGCTAAACAAGGTGAATACTCTACCTGAGGATAGTCAAACAGGCCCAACTTGAGGTGGTACCAATAAGATGAGAAGAGATAGCACTAACAAGATATGAGTTAGATAGTGTTAGATTAGAAGAAAAAATGACAGTTCTAAGGCCACAATAACAAGATCTGAGTTAGATAGTGTTAGATTAGAAGAAAAAATGGAAATTCTAAGGGTCACAAATCATCAACCAAATTCTGCACACCTCCCAAACAAGTAGAATTGAACCAAGAGCTGCATCTGAAGAATGCCTGCCAAAGAAAAGGCTTGCCACCAAGAAAAAAAATTGCAATATGTGGCCAAAAACTCAATGTAAAACAACAGACAGGTTGTACCATCTGAAAATCCCTCAAACCCAATACAGAGGATGGGTCTCTTTACAAAGCCAAAACCCACCATTGGATATCAAGACAATGTGGAGCCAACAAAGCATTTGGTTCCATGCAGAGCAAAAGGTAAACAAACTGAGATGGGAGTAAATGACTTCCATCATAATGTGGTGTTTCAACAGAATGCAAGGAAAATAGATCAACTCCCAGCCACACAAATGATGGATTAGCATTAACACCAATAGAAATGGATAATATAAGAAGCAGAAAATAGAAATCTCTCAGCATGATAACATGTGAGACAAAATAAAGGTTATAATGAGGCATTAGAATTAATTAATAACTACTAAGACAATAGCCCAAAGAAAATAAATGAAAATTTGTTTCCAGGCTTGGACCAATAGGATGAGAAGCATTTTTATAAGCAATTAATTAACAAAAATTTAATGCTAACAACTCGCCCAAAAGCAAGAATCCCACCCCAACCTTCTAGAAAGCAACAATGCCACAACCCACATCCAAAAATCAGTGTTAATAAAGAAATAGATTAAGCCATGGGTTTCCCTTGATTCAAAAAACAGATTAAAATATCTTAAAAAGTCTTTAGAAGTAAGAATAAAACTTTTAGGAAAAGTAATTTGTATTGAAAAATGGGAAGGATGTACATAATAGATATCAACAGAACAAAACTTACAAATGATAGATATAAACAGAACCAAATTCAACAAACAAGTTTCTCGATATAGAGAATTATATAGATAAAATATACCATAAGATCAAATTTATCGCTCAGAAAGGATTCGGTTACCAATTTCCTTCCTCAAATTCAGCATAGCTGAACGTACAAATTCACCTAAAAGTACAAAGAAAAATTAAATTGTGCTTCCACAACTTTATTACAATGCCAAAATTAACTAACGAGAAAGAACAAGACCTTGACAATAAATATTCTAATCATATACACTACAAGTAAATAATCTTGATGTCTAATCATCTTAAGCTTGAAAACGAAGTCTCATTTCCCATAATTGCCAACAGCAAATCTAGGGGCTTCTCCCTCAGAAGACCACTTATAAGCAACAAACACATACCAAGGCCATGCCCTATCAACTCCAAAAATTAGGATTAATAATGTAGTACCAAGAGAAGCTAATCCTACAATAATTCCCAAAGTCAAATAATGCACATAAGAAATACAGTTATTCTGGATACCCTAATACTATTATTCCATTAACAGTTCACTTGAACATCCAGTGATCCATGTAAGAATGACTAGGCTTGATTCATATACATCTAGGAAAATCACAAGGCATTTGAAAATTTAATAACCCCAATAGAGACAAGAACATGAGACCTGCTTCGCATAATTGAAGATTCCATAAATCCAGCAGAAAACCCTGACTAAAACTACAGTCTGAAAAAATTCAATAACCTTAATGGCAACATGAATGTGGGACCTGCTTCGCAGAATTGAAGATTCCATAAATCCAGCAAAAAGCACCAACTGCAGCTTAGTATACATATCACTTTCCATCACAAAAGCTTCCAAGACCAGGCATGTCCAACACATGAGAGTAACACTTGTCGACCAAATCTCAATACATCTCCATGAACCACTTCAGTTAGGATGTCTATAAAAGGTACTGCAGATGCAAGAAGACAATGCATTCTAGCAATTCAATCATTCATATTGCAGGTTAACATCTCAAGATTTAATCATAATTACACCTACAAGAGAACAAGGTGGATATGGCTCAGAAGAGACGATCTGATTAGCAAGACCCTAAATGGAACTCAACAAGATAGGACTAGGTGGTGTCATCTCAAAGAAAAATAAGCACTATAAGCCCAGCTCTTTCATCCAAAGTGAACATTGCCTATAAGATACCAAGTTACCAAGTGATTTCTTCCCCAGTGGTACCATGTAGTATGCACACAAGTATCACCAATATTGTGCCTAGAACATTCCCAATCCTCATGCATCCTCAGAATAAAAGAAATAAAAGAACACAATAAACTCAAAAGAAACCCCATTTGATATAGAAAATCATAAAGGTATAAGAGAAGAATGTTAGGATATAAATATCCAAAAGCCAGCAGGACCACAGAAACCAAGAACAGTTCCAGAAGGTACTACTGGATAAAGCATCAGATACAAGAAACAAATGTTATTGGGTAGCTAAAGATTCTTGCAAAACAAGAAAATGTTAAATCAGATAAACATTAGCACCCGCATCTTACAAAAGCACGATGTTTAAATCTATGAACCTAATCCATAAACAGAAGATTGGAAATCCCCTGCCAGGTAGAGAAATCAAGCAAATGTTGATAAATAAATAATAACATAGTACTAGTAATACAACTTCAATCCAAGATATGCCATTGTAGGAGAAGGGAATTGCCAAGATTTTGGGATGAATGAGAATAAATCAAGGAACATGAAAGAGTAATAAAATACACGCTATAAAAGAAAATTCCACAGAAGCCCCAACCAAGCAACAATTACTACAGATTTCCAAATCAGAAGGCACATTGAACCTTCAGGGATAATAGATAATGAGAACCACCAGAACCAAAAAAAAAAAAATCAGTACCTACAACCAACGTATAAATGTGTTTAGGAGGCACCCATGCACCATGACACCCTCTCAGTTGTATAGTCTACAGACAAGGAGTCGAGGAAACAACTTAATCTGATAAATTACAAGGTAGGGAAGTAATATGTGCACAAAGAGCATATAGAGAAGTTACAACCACCGGTTATCAGTATGGAACATTGGGAACATGGGCATTATTTGCACTATAGCAACCTTATCGTTCTGCATATGCAGGCAATTAATATTAAGAAAATGTAAATATAACATAATAGCATAAGAAAAGGTTTAGAAGGTAATCGTGACCAAAGAAGTTGAATAGACAAGTGTATTATCAAATTTACTTTTAGATGTTACAATGTGAACAAATGCAGTAACTGTCACATATAAATAAGTCAATAAATATACCATAAAGTTGCATTTTGTCCTGCGTAACAGAACAAAAGAGGAAGTAGCGGTCCAAAATTTTAAAACTCCACCATCCTAATAAACTAACAATATCAATGTCAGATATTAGGCATTGCTGGCAAAAAAACTCAGGAACATTCCCCTAATATCTGGGCAACAAATTTGCAGTATAACTTCCATGACCCTTTCTCTAACATAAATATTGCTACAAGCAAAAAACATATGTTTGTTCACACTACTACAGAATAGAATTTAAAATTCGCAATCAAGCAAGTACATATGCATAGAACGTTAAGTGCAAAGGCAATTATACTGACATTAAAAAACATAAGCATCATCAATAAAAAAAATAACATAGACATCCAGCTGATAAAAAAACATCGGCATCTAATGTATAGAGTTGAAAAATAAAATCATGCAATGTAATCTAAAGCATAACAGTGCACTTGCCATTGGCTGCAACCATTCATATCTGACCACAGTGTTCCTTTATAAGCATAATTAGATAAAACCTAGGCAACAAGAACAACTAACAAATTGATTACATGCAATTCAGAATAAAATTGGGGCCCCACACATACCTCACTGACAACTTCATTGACCAATTGTTTTGCAGATTCAATTTGTTCCTTGGTGCCGTCTATTTGTACAGTTCTTTCCGTTGAAGTATCACCAGGAGGCAGATGCAATGGTATCAGCTGGAGAAGAGGTAACAAGAGGTCCAACAAAACCATAATATAAACATAATTCAATACACAGATCATTTGGAATCATGGGAAAGAGATGGGAGAAAAAAATCTATGGATTACACTATCAAGCATGTTTTCTTGATAGATAGACTACGCTATCAAGCATGTTAAGTGAAAATATAAATTGGAGAATTGTGAAAAACATAACAAGCAAATAAAGATGAAGCCTCAATACAGCCATTCATCTTCTTGAAGGTAGCTAAATTAATAACGCATAGCCATAGATAAAAAAAAGTTCGATCATCAAGAGTAACTTATGCACCTGAATACGAGCTCCTGTCCTAGCTTGCATATTCTTTATTGTCTCACCTCCTTTACCAATGATTAAACCAACCTGAGGAATAGGTGCATATTATAGATAATCCAGACTCGATTAATAAGAACATAAAAGTGCATATTGTTTCTTTACTGCAAACCTTGTTATTCGGGACTTTCATTATAAATTGCTCAGCTCCAGGTTGCCCTGCAAATCTTCGGGATACTATGCCAGAACCCCCTGCTTCAGCCTGCATCCATAATTTAATAAAGAAATGAAACTAATGGAATAAAAGAAAATAACTAAACACTCATTACAATCTTAATAACAAGGAGCTTCCATTTTCCATACATTAGGTAACTCATATTAATATTTCTGTGAGGAACTGCGTACTCTCAAACTAGACAATAAGTCGACAAAGAACTAATTTTTAGCTGGCACTTGTTCACTGCATATCCTTCTTATTGAAATACTCCAACTTGGTAAGTCTAAACTGGAAGCATGCATTATCCACCATGTCTATACTTAGTTAGGTTGAATTACCTCGGCTAGAACATCACTGATTAACTGTTCTGCTTTGCTTATTTGCTCTGGAGTACCCATTAGTTCTACAATTCTAGTGAGAGAATTAGGATCGGCATCCATATCCCTAGTTACTTGAATCTTTGCTCCTGACTGAAGCTGAAGGTATTTGATTGTTTCTCCACCCTTACCAATGATAACACCAACCCTCCCATTTGGAATGTCAATCTTTTTACTTGTTCCTTGGAAACCATACGTTACAGGCATCACTGAAGGAGGCGCCATGCCAACTTGGGAATTCACAATTTGATGACCAGGAGGCTTCTGTCCAAGATCTGCATTCATGATGGAAGATTCAATGAAATTTATGGCAATTAAATCCAAATACAGCATTCCTCGTGATTTCCAAAAGCAACACTACACGGAAATCGAATTTATTTCTCCAAAACGATAAAAACCGTCTCAAGAATCAAATAACCATGGCAGAAAACAGTACAAAGTAAATTGAACTATACATATAAGGAAAGAAAGAAAACTAGGAATAAGTGGAAAATATGTGACAATCATATGCGGCGCCCGTTTACCAATACATAAAGTTTAACAGAATCACCCTAAACTTTTCAAAAACCCCTAGGACACAACTTAAAAGTTGAAATACTCAATCCTAATAAAAAATAAAACAAAACAAGAAAGAGAAACTATGGAGGGGAAGGGAAATGAGGTATTACCTGTCGGACCGGAGCTAAATCCCTTATCATTCGTTTCATCTGTGCCTCCTCCATTTTCGACGCGCGGACGCTTCGCTTCAGCGCTGCTGAAGAGACGAGCTGCGATCTCCTGGGCTCGCTGCTTGGCGAGTTGGATCTCATCAACGGGTGGCGGCACACTGTTGTAGGAAGGAGGATGAGCATGAGTTGAATCGGGTGACGGCGAAACGATCGGAGCGGAGAATCCAGTGGAACGACGAGGAGCCGATGAAGGTGGAGGGGGTGTTTCTTCGTACTTCCGCTTGTTGTCCGTCCGAGATGCGAACTGAAGATCTTCTGCCATCGGAGAGCCTGCAGATGTAATTGATGAGAGAGAGAGAGAAACCCTAAAAACGAAAGGGAGAGAGTTTTACAGTGGGGAAGTGCAAAGGGATGGTGGATTTCTTTTCTCGTATATATATACGACCAATGAAATAAAGAATTGTTGTTTTATAGGGATAATTGCGAATCCGTCTACTCGACCTCTCTCTTCCGATTTGGGATCTACCAGTTACATCCTACCCTGTATTGGGAACATCTCCTATTAATAAAACAAATAAATACGGAAGATGATCCCGATGTACGGTTGAAACATGCTATGAGATCGGAGTAAGGAGCGCGAGCAGATTCGGACTCCTCTCTTCCCTGCCCACTTACGGTAGTTGAGATGGTCATACTCCATCACTTCAAGAGTGGAAACGCAAGATCGACCCCATGGAAATGCAGGTTGCCCGTGCCCGTCGTCGTAATCGTATGGGGATTGGGACAGCGGCTTCAGGTCAGGGATCTCATCTGAATTATATCTGATGTAATCCCAGTACCCCACACGGTGGCGTGAACTATTATAAAAAGGACATCTGTCCCTTCACACACTTTGGTTCTTCTCACGTTTGAAACCAACGGGTTAAATTATAGATGTCCGAAAATCATTTGTAACACTTGTACTCGCCCGTGAATTGGGAACAGGATCTGCTCTTCACATTTGGGCGCCTCACATGTACATCCACCGTGCATTGAGAACATCTCCCGTGAAAAATAATTTACAATTACGAGAGATGTTCCCAATGCTTGGTAGGATGTGCGTGTGAGGCGCCCTATGTAAGGAGTAGATCTGATCTCAATGAATTGGCATCAATTTCAAGTCGGCACCTATCCCTACCTCTACAGTGGATTTAGGATTTCTGATGGTGTAATAACAGTAAAAACATAAAAAAAAAGTTAAATGAGATGGCATTCACCCATTCGCCCATTCATGCCCATTTCTATCTTCTTGGTTAAAAAGATAAGGGCAATTACTATTTTACACTACTTTCATAGTAACGTGGCATTCCTAAGAATGTTTTCAAAGATCCATGTGGGTGGAGACACCATGCAATTAATCCAATCAGATAACGGAGATAATTAGGGCAACAAAGAAAATTGAGCATGCCAAGCGAGCCATCATGTGTCAATCCTTTTTGGTTCACAATTGAGAAAAAAAAAAAAAAGGAGAGATGTTAGCATATAAAATGCACAACATAAATTGTAGAAAAAACTTAAACCTCTTACTTCGATTTAAAGTGAAGATTGAAAGTTAAACCCAACTGGGATAAGGTTATTGTCTAGCCCATTTGGCGCAAGAATTTTAAAGCTTGGACAAAAGATTTTCTTCCAAACATGGCCTATTATGAATGTATATTTGCACTTATAGCTCAGTTTGGAAGGAGTACAAATACATAAAAAATATAAGGTTTTCCACTTTAAATATTTGTATTTGTACTCCTTTCAAATGGAGCTGATGCTATTCAATCTAAGGTGGTGCATAAATTGAGGAGAGCAACTAGATAGTCCTTGCTGACAAGGCGGGGTTGAGCTACAAGGATGAGGTTGCGCTTCAAGACCTGTGATAAAAAAAGGAGAAGCCAGAGGCTCGAGGAGTTATCCCCGGGTAAATACTCCGACGCTCAAGTTAGTAAGAGGTAATGGATGGTCAGGCCGAGCTATAAGGATGCTGGTCCAAGCTAAGTAGTAGTACTGGTATCAGAAGTTGGGTCCCTTACCTCGAGCATGGAATACTTTTTTATAACTGAAGATTCGTGTCTTAGTCGAATTAGACTTTTGGGGTTGTTGGGATGAAGTTAGCTGCCAAGGTATTCAGGATAGAGTCTCATTCCCCAATAGAGTCGTCTTCCTTATTTCTCTTTATCCGTAATTATGCTCATCCATATGACGTGGCCGAACTATATCAACGTGGCTGAATTAGGATGACATGGTAGGGAGATAGTTGGGCAGCCACGTGTCTCACAGGGCCAACTTAGCCATGACCCGAACAGGAGCATAGGCAAATAAAAATATAGAATTCATTTTTGTTTAGTAGGGAGGGAAAGGGAGTTGCTAGCAGATGATTGGGAAAATTAGGTTGTACAATAATCAAGTCTATCATGAATTATTTGGGCTAAGTTCATAAAAATCTCGATTCAAATAGATTAAATTGAGTTCATACCCAATGAAGATTTGCTCATAAAACTTACAAGCCTAATTTAGTTTATATTATATTTAATATTTTAATTATTTATATGTATAAGAAGAAATAATTTTTATATTACAATCTTTTGTGTATAATTTTTATTTTTTATATGTATAATATTTTATGTACATAATTTTTTATTTATAATTTTCATTGTCAAACTCGAGCATCATGTTTCTCTGTACATGGTTCAGGTAAAACTTAAACATATAAATCTCACTAAAACTTCAAAAAATACTAATTCTAACAATTAAACAAAATTCTGCTCTCTTTGCCTTTTGGGTTAATAATGCTCGATCTATATTAGTCATTATTCTTCAATACAATTGATTGATTGGGTTTTCTAGACCATCATTGCACATGTAAATGCAAGCTTACCCTACCTGCGTTTGAGGGTCGTGTGGGTTGGATTGGTATGTTGGTCCAAAACGTGCAATCTAATTTCCTATTATTCCTGTTATATATAAAAATTAAACAAGCAAAATCACATGAAGGAACATAAAAAAATTCGAATCATTTGATTAAAACATGTAAATTATCAATTATCTTTCATAAAAAGTTCAAATATTATTAAATTCAACACCTAATACATAAATTCATATGCTTTTCCAACAACAATATGTGGGTTGAAAGAACCGAATTTAGCTTAACGTCGGACCTTATCTATATCTGTACAAATTGTAAAATCCCAAAACCCATATTTTGTTCCAATAAGGCAGGCATCAATATTGTGCAATAGCATGGGCTTTTTCAGTATTTTACATATGTTAAAGTATCATTCACCATAAATCATTGATATTTTGAATTTATGGAAACCTTTTCTTTTAAAATCAACTTGATATTGTGTTAGTATCATTTCGTAACGAAATGATAATATTACAAGTACAATAGGCAACGATGATATGAACACCATATAAATTACCGTCATGATGCAAATGTTAGTATATAATAATATAATAATATCGGACTATTTTAATTTGATAGACATTACATTAAACAATGGATGAAATACTTGAAGTACACGTTTCGTGCGATGTATTAATAAGTATTCCCCTATCGTCTCATCTCATTAATATCTTAAAGTACCTCTAACTTTTTGAAAATTTGGACATTGTCTTTTCTCTTGATTCATATAACGTAAGGGAAAAGTGAAAATGTTCATTTTGCCCCTTATTATTTGTCAAATATCCAAAACATGACCACAGTGCCCCTCAAGCCTCAAATCCCGGTCACATTCCCGGGTCTGATTGTCTTCGTTGTTATTTGTCAAATATCCAAAACATGACAACAGTGCCCCTCAAGCCTCAACTTCCGGTCGCATTCCCGGGTCTGATTGTCAATGTTGTTGCTCATCATAGTTCGGTCACATTTCCAGGCCTAAATAGTTCGGGCTTGGGCCGAGCTCGGGCTTTAGTCTTAATTTTTAAGGTTGGGCTGGGCTTAGCTAAAACCAGGTGAAAATGAAAGAAGTATTAACATCAACTCTAAAATCAAATAAGAAAATTTATATAAGCAAGAACTTCCTTCAACCTACAAAACCCATTTCTATATGATCAAGATACAAGAAGATATGTATCTTCAAATAACATAAAAACAACAATCCAATTGTAAAATTTCATCAAATACAGGACCACCATTTCATGACCTAGCCACAAAACCCATTTGTACTTTTTTCATCTTATGAAAACCACTTTGAAACAATACATGAGATTTCATGGAACATACACAAAAAATGGATTGAACTTGTCAAACTATTAAAAATTTATACTAGATCCTTGCCTTACTTTTGATGCATGTCATAAAAAGTTAAATTTGTTCATTCACATTATTTTATTTATTTGCATAATAAATAAAAATCTTCATTTGGTGTCGAGTCTTATTACTTGAAGTCTTGAAAGAGATGAAATTGGTTCTGGGATGATTGATAGGAGGTTATGGTGTAAGTACCATAGTTTTATTGCACTCAAACCATTTTATTGTAATGTGCATTTACATTATCCCAGTACTAAGTAATTCATCAAAAGAAAATCACTTGAGAATGCCCAAAATATGATGCCAGTATCAATGGCATCAGTACTATCTAGTTTAATGAATATAATTGACTATTCTTATAAACATCATGTGTTTCTAGCAAGGTTCAAAATATCAATACGCCCGATATGCCGGTATGAGTGTATCAGGCGAATTAATACAGTTTTTCATGCCTTTTTTTTTTTTTCGCAACCGGTTCAAGGGGGCCGAATTAAGTCTCCTCTACCCCCTGAACTGGTCAGACCTCCGATGCACCCACTGTAAGGATGTATCGGAGAGGTCCCGGAACGATACGTATGATACTTTGAACCTTGGTTTCTAGTATCATTCATTGTTTGTCCAATACTATCATATAGCATTCATCTCAAATAGACCATTTGCGAGAAAATAGATATAACATCGACTCCATTGGAAACTATATTAGTATCATTTGTTTTATTGCATAAATATATTATGTAATAACAAAAGCACCACATATATATTGCTTAGGTATCATTGACATGCACTCAATACTGGTATGATGCTTGGCATGCCATTTATAACAAACTACTTCAGAAAACCGTATAGTATGATATTGGTACCTTTTGGCATGTATGAGGTATCTTTGACCCAAAGGGGTAGGGTAGTGTAGTAGAGATGCACATAAAGGCTCCACGTCAAACAGTTCAAAGTTAACGATCTTGATACGAAAAAATCGTGCATCGAGAGTTTCCAATAAATCTATCAAAGAATAAAACAGAGTTTCCAACAATCCATAATCCTCTTTCAGTTTGATAATTCACAGATAGATAGATATATTAGGATGCGTAATAATGTTCAAACCTGTTAAAACTTAAAAGACCCCAACTGTCAGTGTTCAGCGTTCAGTGAGCCTAAAAACCGATATAGTACGATACGTATCGGCACTTTGAACCTTTTCTCAAAACATAAGACGTGATTACATAAATAAAATATATAATTTACAATATCAACTAGCACAACAAGCAAAAAAAAAAAAAAAAGCAAAACTAAAAGGACAGTAAGTCATTCAACAATATATAAAAACATCGTTTCTCTGATTCTCTTATATGCACGGCAATGTGAGCAAACTCCCTTCAACTGCATTTAAATATAAGAGAGGATAACAGTACACAGCTAATGGTTCTTCCAGAACTGAATTTATTATTCCTTTGCAGAAACGTAAGTTCAAATGACACACTAGATCAAAAGCCAACAACAAGTAGCAAGCCCTCACTTGGTCCACCAAATAAGGAAATCCTTTCGCCTATTAATCTTTTTCTGCAGCTGGAGAAGTCCATAGAGTAGAGCCTCAGCTGTAGGGGGGCAGCCAGGGACATAGATGTCAACTGGAACAATTCTGTCACAACCCCGAACAACAGAATACGAGTAGTGGTAGTAACCACCACCATTTGCACAGCTTCCCATAGAGATGACCCATCGTGGCTCAGGCATTTGGTCATAAACCCTAATTTTAAAGAAAGACAAAAAATGGTTTAATCATTTCTTGCACTCTAGGGGGGGGGGGGGGAGGGTGTTCAACATGGTTTGGATTTGTTCTTGAAAACAAAAACAATTTCCATCAGCAAAATAATTTTTATTTTTGAAAACAATTGTTTTTGCTGATGTGGCAGTTGTTTTTATTTTCAAAAACAAAACCAACCAGGTTGTCTAGCACCCCCCAAGTAATATGATACCTTCAACTTGTTTTCTGACCCCAAGTATTTCGGAGCTGGAAAAGGATGCTTCTTCAAATAGTGAAAGCCAAGAAATCATATAGTGCTTTGATTATCACAAACAATTTAAACAAAAAAAGAAATGGTTGATCATTTCTTGCACACTAGGAGGTGTTCCACATGGTTGGATATACAATATATATTTTTGTTTTTGCTGATGTGGCAATTGTTTTTATTTTCAAAAACAGACCAACCACGCTGTCAAACACCCCCCAACTTATATGATAACTTCAACTTGTTTTTTTTTTTTGACAAGTATGATACCTTCGACTTGTTTTCTCACAAGTATATCAGAGCTGGAAAAAGGAGGCTTTTTCAAATAGTGAAAACCAAGAAATCATACAGTGCTTTGATCATCACAAACAAATTAAATGCTTTTTTCTCCCTATACCCTAGGTCATTCCAATTGCAAGTGACATAAATAAAAGGTCGTTCTTTCACAGACATCAAAAGCTATATGGTTTTTTCTCTTAAATTCCAAGTTCTTCAAAGTTGAAATTCAAAGCAACATAATCTGCCCAACACGGCAACGCCTCCAGCATAAAAGAAAAAAAGCAAAGCTGAGGCCAGAGTCAGCAGACTGAGATTCAAATTCTGGCCACAGCAGACACTGAACCCTATTAAATCAGCATAGGAAAACCAAAAAATCTCCACAAAATATCCACAAGGATATGACATAAAAAAGTCCCCCATAAATGAATTTATCAACAGAAAATCTTTAAATAAGAAAGAGGAAAATAGAGTGAAGGATACATAGCAATAAACTTAATAACAAGCATATAAAAAAGGTCCACTAAATACAAAGCCTTCAAAACTGCACAAAAAGAGAACTGGCAAATTACTACTATATTGATGATTCCAATCCCAATCCACAAGTTAGGCAGAATGGAATTGCGTTTTAGGACAAATCCAAAACCAGCCTATCCAACATGGACAAGCCTGGTCCACCTGTGGTAAGGCCAAGCCAAATTCAAACCATGATTGTCACCCAAGCAAATTTAGTATATCTTTGGATTTGGTCAAGCTGGGCTTTACTTTGAATAGCAGAAAGCAACATGCATTAGGCATAGACCACAGGAAACAGATTGTATACATACAAATGCAAATGTATGTGAAAGAGGAGAGAGAGGAAATGGTTGAGAAAGGAAAATAAGTGGACTGACGTTTTGGATGGTGGTCTGGATACGAGGCCAAGGTAAAATATCAGCCATGTTGTCTATATTTTCATTATAGATGGGGTTGAACTTGAGTTGGGTCTAGTTTCAGGGTACCATTTTCTCTTGGAGCAACTTCCGATCAAATGCCTCTTTGTCAAGGCTGGATTGTTTTCTTGTTAACTCTGATTGGGAGAAAGCTTTCTCAGTCATTGTGCAGTGTGCTTTGCCTAGACCCACCTCTGACCACGTCCCACTGCTGTTACAATCTGGGGAGGCATGTCGAAAGCTTGGTCCTTTTCATTTAGAACTGATGTTCTTTGAAGTTCCTGGCTTTGTTGACAGGGTGAAAGAGTGGTGGGATGGCTTTGATGAATCCCTTCATTTTGAGCAAAAGCTTAGGGCTCTTAAAGCTAAGACCAAGGTGTGGAATGCTGAAGAATTTGGTTACTTGAACCAGCATAAGGAATCCATGTTGGCCACTATTTCAGATTTGGATGCGAAGGAAGCCTCTAGCACTTTGTTTTAAGAGGAGCGAAAGAAGAGAGACTTGGCGAGGGATGAGTTTGGCAGGTTGTGTCAAATGGAGGAGGTGTCTTGGTGGCAGAAATCCAAGGTCCTGTGGCTCAAGGAAGGAGATAAATAAAAACACACGCTTCTTTCACCAAATGGCCAATAGTCGAAGAAGACAAAACACAATTAAGACAATCTCTGTGGAGGAAAGATCTTTGGAAGAAGACCAGGAGGTAATTGATGGCATTTTAAACTTCTATAAATATCTCTATTCAGAAGAATCAGAAGGAAGCTTGATTAGGCCTTCGTTGGATGGAGTAGAGTTAAACCTTTTAGGAGAGGCTGGCAGATAGGGCGTCGCCAGAAAAGGAGTTTGAGGAGAATGAGGTCTGGCAAGCTGTTAAAGATCTTGAAGGGGATAAGGCCCCTGGCCTGACGGTTTTCCAATGGGGTTCTACAAAAGGTGTTGGGACATTATTAGGGTGGAGCTGATGTTGGCAATCAAAGATTTCTAGGTTCATGGGAAGCTTTCTCGACGTGCTAGATCAACTTTTATCTCCCTAATTCCAAAGGTCTCGGGCGCCTTTGACATCAGGGATTTTCGACCTTTAAGCTTAACAACTAGTTTCTACAATGTGATTTCTAAGGTGCTGGTCAACTGGCTCAAAAAGGTGATTGGTAAGCTGGTCCTTCCTTCTCAGGAAGCCTTTGTTGATGGAAAGCAAATCTTGGATGGTCCTCTTATTGCAAATGAATGCATTGACTCTCACATGTGGCAAGGGGAACCTGGTTTGGTTTGCAAACTGGACCTCGAGAAAACTTACAATCATGTACAATGGCATTTTGTTGACTATGCAAGAATGGGGTTTGGGGTTGTGTGGAGGAAGTGGATTTCTGGCTATATCTCAGCTCCTTGGATTTTAGTGCTCACTAATGGGGCGTCGAAAAGTTTCTTCAAAGGAGAAAGGGGTTCTTTGGCAGGGTGACCCATTATCTCCTTACCTTTATACTTTAGTAGTGGAGCCGTTAGGAAGGCTGGTGAACAAGGTTGCCGAGGAAGGCTTTATTGAGGGTTTTTTAGCAGGCTCTAATGGTCCGACGATTACATTGTTGCAGTTAGCGAATGACACTCTTATCTTCTCAAGTGCTGCTCATTCAGATTTGTTGTTCCTCAGGTGTTTACTGATTTGTTTTGAAGCAACGTCAGGTTTGAAGATAAATCTGTGGAAAAGTCAGATCATTCCGATAGGGGAGATCCCTCAAATTGCATAGTTGGCTGTTACTTTAGATTGCTGGGTAGGCTCGTTGCCCTTAACCTATCTGAGCCTACCTCTTGGTGCGAATTATAGGTCTACTGCTGTTTGGGATCCAGTTATCGTGCGCTGCAAGAGGAAACTGGTTGGGTGGAAACAAAAGTTACTGTCTAAAGGAGGGAAGGTGGTCCTAATTCAGAGTGTTCTCTTGAGTCAGCCAACCTATTTTTATCTCTTTCTCCTTGCTTGCTTCGGTTGCTAGTGTTTAGGAGAAGTTGAGGATCTATGGGATGGCCCTAATGAGGAAAAGAAGTTGCACCTGGTTTTGTGGGACTCTGTTTGCACCTCAAAAGCTTTGGGAAGTTTGGGTTTCAGGAGGTTGCAATTGCTGAATGATGCTCTTCTTTGTAAATGGCTATGGAAATATGGGGAAGAAATGAACCAGTTGTGTTGATTGGTCATTGCGAGCAAATATGGCATCTCTCTGATTGACTGGGCACCTCTTACCCCACAACAGGCCTACAACATTAATGTTTGGAAAAGAATTATGGCTTGGCTCCCTTTGTTTCAGCAACATGTCTCCTTTAAGGTGGGGGATGGGAGTAGAATATCTTTTTGGAATGATACTTGGTGTTCAGATCTTCCTCTGGCAGAATTGTTCCACCCTCTTTTCTTGCTATCTGTGAATAGGGGCATTGCTGTTAAGGATTTCTATGAACTGATTAGTTGGCAGGTGGTGTGGGCTCCCAGATTACGTAGGAATTTAAACAACTGGGAAGTGGATCTCTTAGGAGGGCTTTAAGCAGCTTGAGTGCTATCCAATCCAATCCTAACTCCAGGGATGCTAAGCAGTGGACGATCGGGATGGAGGATCAATTCTCAGTTAGTTGTTGCTACAAAGCTTCTGCTGACAGAGGTGGTCAGGTTCCATGGTTTTAGCTTAGGAAAGTTCAGGTCCCTTCGAAGATCAAATTCTTTGTTTGGCTGGCTGTTAAGGACAAAGCTCAGTCTGCTGAATATCTATTGAGATGCGGAATGGAGCTGGATTCCACTTGCAGCTTGTGGAGTAGCTTCTGAGTCCATCCATCATCTCTTGATCCACTGGCCCTACACCTACCAAGTCCGGTGCCATTTCTTCAGGCTGTTCCAAGTGGTTTGGGTCTCCCCTGCATCTGTGGCCAATCTAATCTTAGGCTGGAGGGTAAATTGCTTCTCAAACAAAGGCCAGTTCTTGTGTTAGTGCCTGCCTTTTGCAATTTTCTAGGTGGTACGGAAAGAGCGCAACCAGAGAACTTTTGAGTCTATATCCATTGAAGTTGAGGTGGTTCTAGGAAAGGTGGAAAAGGCGGAAAGGCTGCTTGTGAGTTGGGCTTGGTGCTCGAAGCTTTTTGTAGACGTGCCTGCCAGTTCCTTCTCTGATCAATAGCAGTCCATTTTTTAAGTTCTTTTCTTTTGTTTTTTTTGAGCTCTCTTTGTACATGATCTGTGCATATTAAAGGCACTGCCCTTTTGTATATGATTGAGGATTCCTTGCCCTCCTTTTCATTTTTATTTGATAAATGAGAGTAATTTTATTAAATCAAATAACAAAAATACAATCAGCCTAGGAGGAGGCACGAGATGTTACCCCCCTAGGACTGAACCATATACAACAAAACTGCCCAAGCCTGAGACAATTACAAAGTAACCCAAAATAGATCTCCCCTTGACACCCCCTGCTTGGCCAGAGAATCAGCCATTGCATTTGCTGATCTTCTAACCCACTGAAACCTGACAGTCATATTCCTTGTCATCCATTTAACTTTCTTTAAC